CCAAGACTGTTAGAAATGTGAAATGAAGTTTTTCGATAAATTCTTCCTTTTATCGAAAATCTTAGAATTCTGACTTTTTTCTTAAAAATCTTTAAACAGTGACTTTTTTTCAGAAAATCTCAGCATTTTGACTTCTAGTTAAATATCCCAGATGTTTTGAAGGTATTTCTGCGACAGAGGGCCTTTGAGGTGGAAAGAGTTGAAGGCGAGGCAGGGGGGAGGAAAGCGCCTGAATGTTCGGCTCAGGATTCGAACCGGCCTCCTGAAGTTTAAAGTCAGAATGAAAACAAAAACACTTTTGGTCAACCCTCAACATCAGATCAGATTTGTAAAATTATGAATTGAGTAAACAATAAAAAAAGCGTTATTATATAATAATAACCTGTTATTACTATTGACCACTGAGCAAACATCTCTGTGTGAAGTTTGGTTTGAATGTGACACTGAAGGCATCACAGGGAGGAGAGGGAGGAGGTGAGGGTTCAAGGGAAGGAATGAGGAAGGGAGGAATGAAGGAATGAGGAAGGGAGGAAGGGAGGAGAGGTTGTTTCCACCTGGCCTCCACCTGTCAGAGTGAAGCTGAGAGGAAACACTCTCAGGGTTTCTCTTGATGAGATAGTCTTACAAATCTCAACATTTCAATAACACCACCACGTCTTATAGTATTTGACGTTACTGTTTGAAGACGCTGCCCCCTGGTGGCCAGCGCGACGCTGCCCCCTGGTGGCCAGCGCGACGCTGCCCCCTGGTGGCCAGCGCGACGCTGCCCCCTGGTGGCCAGTGCGACGCTGCCCCCTGGTGGCCAGCGCGACGCTGCCCCCTGGTGGCCAGCGCGACGCTGCCCCCTGGTGGCCAGCGCGACGCTCTGCAGCTGTTTCAGTTTGTTGTCAACGGCTTTGCTTTTCACAACAAACAATGATAAAAACAGGCATTATCAAGTAGAAAACACCCAATGAACAAAAGACAGCACTTTCACGTCAATAAATAATCCAACATCAGGAGTTTAATCAAACTCTGCTAAACTAAAATAACATAATTAGCCTAAAAAAATCTAAATTAAAACCAAAAAACACTAAAAACAGAGAAAACAACAAAATAAACTTGTGAATAAATAATTCAACCTCATAATCTCAAAGGATAGAGGACTATCTCTTATAATGATGGAGTTTAATTTCATTTTATACATTAATTCATATTTGTTACTGCTGTTTACCAGTTTGATGAGATACATATTTATTCATTAATAATTAAATCTGAACATTTAAAATACATCCGTCTTCATTTCCTCCTCCTGCACCTGCTGGCATCTGGATCGTTGACCTCTGACCCCAGCTGCACACAATGTAACACACACACACACACACACCTGTCCATCAGAGTATTGCATTACCTGCAATAATGCAATACTCTGATAGACAGGTGTGTGTGTGTGTGTGTGTGTGTGTGTGTGTGTGTGTGTGTGTGTGTGTGTGTGTGTGTGTGTGTGTGTGTGTGTGTGTGTGTGTGTGTGTGTGTGTGTGTGTGCGTGTGTGTGTTACGTTCCCTCCTGGACTAGGGGTACAAAGGGAAGTAACACAAATATAAAATAACCGGGAGAGAGAGAAGAGAGGAAAGTGATTGCTGAAGCCACACGGCGATGTTTTAATTAGTCAAAGAAAGTAAAGAGGCTCACCAGCCAATTTGAAATGCAAACTTACGACAAACCAAAACAACTTTCTCATAAAAGAAAGCGACGACAGTAAACCAAGACACTGGTCAGAACTTCTACAAGTTGCACGTCCAACATAGACAACCGAATACTACACTGCTGCACAGATCACTAGTGATGGGCAAATGAAGCGTCAAACAGCGACCTCTCCTGGCGAGGTGCAAGGCTGCAGTGGGTTTAAAGGAGCCTTGAAAATAATGTTGATACTCACACACTAAGACATATAAACTGTATATATCATGAATATCATTTACAAAGATGAAATACAGATGGATGAATGTGTGTCTTGTGTTATTGAGGAGAGGGTTCTGGGAACATATGGCATAGGTTGTGGTGTGCTTGTGTCATTATGGCAGACACACACACACACACACACACACACACACACACACACACACACACACACACACACACACACACACACACACACACACACACACACACACACACACCTCTCCTGATAGAAATCCAGTTATGTCTGATTACTAAAGGGTTGATGCTATAATATGTTTAACAAAACATTTAAATAAACACATTTTTTTGCTGAAATGAAAACAATGAGTGCTGCAACTAGAGTGATAGGAGTGTGTGTGTGTGTGTGTGTGTGTGTGTGTGTGTGTGTGTGAGAGCTGATCAATAATCCCGCCACACACACACACAGATTAGATATCGTTCATTGATTTATAATATAAGAGATACAAAATAGAATAAAAAATGAACATTAAGAGTAAAAACGATATGAATAATATTTTGAGAATACACCATATAAATAACTACGAGTGAGTATATAATAGACCAACATACTACTAACTAAATATAGTTAGATATACAGTAATTAGAATTCATATATTCATTCATTTTGTATTTTTATTTTATTTTGAAAAATATGTTAGTATTGGTTGTTGTTGTTGTTGTTGTTGTTGTTGTTGTAAGAAGTTGTATATTGCCACTGATGTACAGTAAATGAGTTTGAGTGAGTATACACTGTAATAGACCAAAATACTATACTTACACAATAGACATAATTAGAACGTTGTAACATGACGTCTTGGCTCTGTCGCTGAGTGGGCTGGGTTCATGTTGGCCAGATGGTACGGTCACACTCACAGGTACCGATCAGAACCCAGTCCAGATGGTACGGTCACACTCACAGGTACCGATCAGAACCCAGGCCAGATGGTACGGTCACACTCACAGGTACCGATCAGAACCCAGTCCAGATGGTACGGTCACACTCACAGGTACCGATCAGAACCCAGTCCAGATGGTACGGTCACACTCACAGGTACCGATCAGAACCCAGTCCAGATGGTACGGTCACACTCACAGGTACCGATCAGAACCCAGGCCAGATGGTACGGTCACACTCACAGGTACCGATCAGAACCCAGTCCAGATGGTACGGTCACACTCACAGGTACCGATCAGAACCCAGTCCAGATGGTACGGTCACACTCACAGGTACCGATCAGAACCCAGGCCAGATGGTACGGTCACACTCACAGGTACCGATCAGAACCCAGGCCAGATGGTACGGTCACACTCACAGGTACCGATCAGAACCCAGTCCAGATGGTACGGTCACACTCACAGGTACCGATCAGAACCCAGGCCAGATGGTACGGTCACACTCACAGGTACCGATCAGAACCCCAGGCCAGATGGTACGGTCACACTCACAGGTACCGATCAGAACCCAGTCCAGATGGTACGGTCACACTCACAGGTACCGATCAGAACCCAGTAGCACCACACAGAAACATCCAGTGTTCAGGATGTTCAGTTTAATCGGGTCAGGGACAAGCAGGGTCAAAACCAAGAGATCCAGCAGTCAGGCAAACAAACCCAAGAAGGAGGGCAGGCAGGAAACTGGAGGTCCGATAACAGGCAGGGTCAAGACCGGGCCGAACAGATAACTGGACAAAAGATATTGAAACGCTGGAGAGCTCGGCAGAATACACAAGACAACCTGGCAGAGGACAAGTGAGAGTGAGGTGGTGTATATACTGTTAATGAGGGATTGAGTAGCAGGTGAGGAGAAGGGCTGGGGAGACCAGGTGAGGGGAGTGAGCTGATTGGAGGAGAGTTAAGATGTGCCAAACCAAAAAACAACTATAAATGTGTTGAACTTGTGACATCGCCGACGAGTCCTCCTTCGGGGCCTGGGTCCAGGAGGAGGACTCTGGCTTCCTCCGGGACTCTGGCTTCCTCCGGGACTCGGGCTTCCTCCGGGACTCTGGCTTCCTCCGGGACTCGGGCTTCCTCCGGGACTCGGGCTTCCTCCGGGACTCGGGCCTCCTCCGGGACTCTGGCTTCCTCCGGGACTCTGGCTTCCTCCGGGACTCTGGCTTCCTCCGGGACTCGGGCTTCCTCCGGGACTCTGGCTTCCTCCGGGACTCGGGCCTCCTCCGGGACTCTGGCTTCCTCCGGGACTCGGGCCTCCTCCGGGACTCTGGCTTCCTCCGGGACTCGGGCCTCCTCCGGGACTCGGGCTTCCTCCGGGACTCGGGCTTCCTCCGGGACTCGGGCCTCCTCCGGGACTCTGGCTTCCTCCGGGACTCTGGCTTCCTCCGGGACTCTGGCTTCCTCCGGGACTCGGGCTTCCTCCGGGACTCGGGCTTCCTCCGGGACTCGGGCTTCCTCCGGGACTCTGGCTTCCTCCGGGACTCGGGCTTCCTCCGGGACTCTGGCTTCCTCCGGGACTCGGGCTTCCTCCGGGACTCGGGCTTCCTCCGGGACTCGGGCCTCCTCCGGGACTCTGGCTTCCTCCGGGACTCTGGCTTCCTCCGGGACTCTGGCTTCCTCCGGGACTCTGGCTTCCTCCGGGACTCGGGCCTCCTCCGGGACTCGGGCTTCCTCCGGGACTCGGGCTTCCTCCAGGACTCGGGCTTCCTCCGGGTATCCTCACTTCTTGTGTCGTCTTTCATGAGGTCTTTGAACCAATCTTAGTCTGGCCCGTTGCCTGAGATCAATCTGCCATGGGAGACCCTAGCAGGACCACAAGGCTCCAGACAGCACAGAGCCAGGTTCATCAGGGCTCACAAACCTCTCACCACGACACGGTGCTGGTTCTTCAGAGAGGCTACATAAAGGAGCTCACGAGACAAATCCTAAATAATTGAAATGACTCTTTTTGTTTACATCCAGAACACGGTGCCATCACTGAGGAATTAGCTTAGCTTAGTTTAGCATGCAGCTCCCCTTTGGCTGATTATTAGTATGTTCTGACGTAATCCAGAACCACATGAAGGAATCCCATTGGACCAGGAGATGCTGCCTTCAGGTAAGGTACGTTTATTTATAAAGCACATTTTCAGACACAGGCAATTCAAAGTGCTTTAAATCAACATTATCACACAATAAGAAAACAAAAGAAAAGAACACAATAAATAAACACGATGGAATAATAGATTCATAAAAACCATGCATAAATAGATTCTTTTACAGAGACGAGTAAAAACACTGTTACAGTAATCAAACCTGCTAAATACAAATGTGTGAATTGGGTTTTCAAGGTCTTGTTGAGACATGAATGATCTAAGTCTGGCTGTGTATTTCAGGTGATAGTATGCTGATTTAGTAATTGTGTGAATGTGGGTTTTGTAATTGAGGTCGGGGTCCAGATCTACGACTAGATTTCTCACATTTTCAGATGTTTAGTAGTAGGGCTTCTAGTTCAGGGTCTCTGTTTCTGTCTCTAAGAGTATTCGATGCTGCCTTCAGGGTCCCCCCTGTCTCTAAGAGTATTCTATGCTGCCTTCAGGGTCCCCTCTGTCTCTAAGAGTATTCAATGCTGCCTTCAGGGTCCCCTATGTCTCTATGAGTATTCAATGCTGCCTTCAGGGTCCCCTCTGTCTCAGTCTGTCTCTATGAGTATTTGATGCTGCCTTCAGGGTCCCCTCTGTCACTGTCTCTATGAGTATTTGATGCTGCCTTCAGGGTCCCCTCTGTCTCTGTTTCTATGAGTATTTGATGCTGCCTTCAGGGTCCCCTCTGTCTCAGCCTCTCTCTATGAGTATTTGATGCTGCCTTCAGGGTCCCCTCTGTCTCAGCCTCTCTCTATGAGTATTTGATGCTGCCTTCAGGGTCCCCTCTGTCTCTGTCTCTATGAGTATTTGATGCTGCCTTCAGGGTCCCCTCTGTCTCTAAGAGTATTTGATGCTGCCTTCAGGGTCCCCTCTGTCTCAGCCTCTCTATATGAGTATTTGATGCTGCCTTCAGGGTCCCCTCTGTCTCTGTCTCTATGAGTATTTGATGCTGCCTTCAGGGTCCCCTCTGTCTCTAAGAGTATTTGATGCTGCCTTCAGGGTCCCCTCTCTCTCTGTCTCTATGAGTATTTTATGCTGCCTTCAGGGTCCCTTCTGTTTCTCTCTCTATGAGTATTCGATGCTGCCTTCAGGGTCCCCTGTCTCTGTTTCTATGAGTATTCGATGCTACCTTCAGGGTCCCCTCTGTCTCTAATAGTATTATATGCTGCCTTCAGGCTCCCCTCTGTCTCTAAGAGTATTTGATGATGCCTTCAGGGTCCCCTCTGTCTCTAAGAGTATTCGATGCAGCCTTCAGGGTCCCCTCTGTCTCTATGAGTATTCTATGCTGCCTTCAGGGTCCCCTCTGTCTCTAGGAGTACTCCTCTGCCAGTGTGTCCATGTAGTCGGTGTCAGCGTACAGCAGGAACCCGGAGAACAGCGAGTCGCTCCAGCCCGGTTCTGCAAAGAGGCCGTTCTGGTCCTTGAAGAAGATCTCCAGCCACACCTGGTCCTCGGGGTTCAGGAACATGGCGGTGGACCCCGAGGCCGAGTCGTGGTTCCCCGTGTTGGCGTCGAAAGTCTTGATGCGGTACTGCCCGTTGTGCACCAGCCCGATGGCCAGGTGCTTGTTGGCCAGCGTGATGTGGTAGGAGAAGAAGTAGATCCCGGGGAGGGAGCACATGAACTTCCCCGTCTGAGGGTCGTAGTTCCCCCCCTCGTTCAACAGCACCTTGTTGAACCTGTTAGAGAGGGGGGACAAGTACACATCCTTTACTCAAGTAGAAGTACACACATCCTTTACTCAAGTAGAAGTACAGATACTCGTGTTTAAAAATACTCTGGTGAAAGTAGAAGTACTGACTAAACTTCTTTACTCAAGTCAAAGTAAAGCACTTTGAAATGTACTTCAGTAAAAAGTACCCATAACTAGCAGCTGTTTTAAAGAGTACCTGACCTCCCTTTATATGAATAGAACAATAATGTCATTGTTAGCTAATGAATGTTTCCATGCTGAACAACGGCAACATGACAACGTTTTCATTGGTCCCTCTTCTTTAGAGAAGACCAGGAAATGATGGATACACGGATCGTGTTCAAATCAATAGGCACGCAATGACTCTAAATAATAATGATCACGCCACCAAACACACATTCAAACTAAAGGAACCAGCCTGTTTGGGAAATGTGAGAAGTAGAAAGTACAGGTATTTGGGTTCAACATGTAAGAAGTAGAAAGTACAGGTATTTGGGTTCAACATGTAAGAAGTAGAAAGTACAGGTATTTGGGTTCAACATGTAAGAAGTAGAAAGTACAGGTATTTGGGTTCAACATGTAAGAAGTAGAAAGTACAGGTATTTGGGTTCAACATGTAAGAAGTAGAAAGTACAGGTATTTGGGTTCAACATGTAAGAAGTAGAAAGTACAGGTATTTGGGTTCAACATGTGAGAAGTAGAAAGTACAGGTATTTGGGTTCAACATGTAAGAAGTAGAAAGTACAGGTATTTGGGTTCAACATGTAAGAAGTAGAAAGTACAGGTATTTGGGTTCAACATGTGAGAAGTAGAAAGTACAGGTATTTGGGTTCAACATGTAAGAAGTAGAAAGTACAGGTATTTGGGTTCAACATGTAAGAAGTAGAAAGTACAGGTATTTGTGTTCAACATGTAAGAAGTAGAAAGTACAGGTATTTGGGTTCAACATGTGAGAAGTAGAAAGTACAGGTATTTGAGTTCAACATGTGAGAAGTAGAAAGTACAGGTATTTGGGTTCAACATGTAAGAAGTAGAAAGTACAGGTATTTGGGTTCAACATGTGAGAAGTAGAAAGTTCAGGTATTTGGGTTCAACATGTAAGAAGTAGAAAGTACAGGTATTTGTGTTCAACATGTAAGAAGTAGAAAGTACAGGTATTTGTGTTCAACATGTAAGAAGTAGAAAGTACAGGTATTTGTGTTCAACATGTAAGAAGTAGAAAGTACAGGTATTTGGGTTCAACATGTAAGAAGTAGAAAGTACAGGTATTTGAGTTCAACATGTAAGAAGTAGAAAGTACAGGTATTTGTGTTCAACATGTAAGAAGTAGAAAGTACAGGTATTTGGGTTCAACATGTAAGAAGTAGAAAGTACAGGTATTTGAGTTCAACATGTAAGAAGTAGAAAGTACAGGTATTTGTGTTCAACATGTAAGAAGTAGAAAGTACAGGTATTTGAGTTCAACATGTGAGAAGTAGAAAGTACAGGTATTTGGGTTCAACATGTAAGAAGTAGAAAGTACAGGTATTTGAGTTCAACATGTAAGAAGTAGAAAGTACAGGTATTTGTGTTCAACATGTAAGAAGTAGAAAGTACAGGTATTTGTGTTCAACATGTAAGAAGTAGAAAGTACAGGTATTTGTGTTCAAAATGTAAGAAGTAGAAAGTACAGGTATTTGTGTTCAACATGTAAGAAGTAGAAAGTACAGGTATTTGTGTTCAACATGTAAGAAGTAGAAAGTACAGGTATTTGTGTTCAACATGTAAGAAGTAGAAAGTACAGGTATTTGTGTTCAACATGTAAGAAGTAGAAAGTACAGGTATTTGTGTTCAACATGTAAGAAGTAGAAAGTACAGGTATTAGTGTTCAACATGTAAGAAGTAGAAAGTACAGGTATTTGTGTTCAACATGTAAGAAGTAGAAAGTACAGGTATTTGGGTTCAACATGTAAGAAGTAGAAAGTACAGGTATTTGTGTTCAACATGTAAGAAGTAGAAAGTACAGGTATTTGTGTTCAACATGTAAGAAGTAGAAAGTACAGGTATTTGTGTTCAACATGTAAGAAGTAGAAAGTACAGGTATTTGTGTTCAACATGTAAGAAGTAGAAAGTACAGGTATTTGTGTTCAACATGTAAGAAGTAGAAAGTACAGGTATTTGGGTTCAACATGTAAGAAGTAGAAAGTACAGGTATTTGGGTTAGAAATGTAAGAAGTAGAAAGTACAGGTATTTGGGTTAGAAATGTAAGAAGTGGAGTAAAGTACTGATACCAGAAAAATGTACTTAAGTGCAGTAACAAAGTATTTGTACTCCACTACTTCCCCCCTCTGATTGTTATGGAAACTATGCTATTAAAGCTTGATAGTGTAATCCTAATGAAATGTAACTGCTGTATCCTGGGTGTAACTGTGACCCAGTGTATCAGTTCTGTCCTGACTGAGCACACGCACCTATAGCCTGGGCTGCTGTGCTCTCAGTGTGTTGTCTCCCTGTCCCTGCCTGCTGGCGTCAGCTGATAGAGGTGTTATGGTTCATCTTGTTATGCACAATGTTGATTATTCTCTCAGAACTAGCACCCTGCCTCTGGAACTCTCTCCCACCTGACATCCGCAACACTGACTCTCTCCCCATTTTCAAATCACGTCTCAAAACACATCTCTTCACACTCGCATATCCACCCTGATCATTATCCATCACTCATCCTCTGTTTTATTGATTTGATGTTTTATATATTGCATTGTCTTGTTTATGTTTCTTATGCTGGTGTTATGTATTGTGTACGGCGACCTTGAGAGCCTTGAAAGGCGCCTATATAAAATAAATGAATTATTACACATGGGTCTGGGGTAGAGATCTTCAGAATTGGTTTGGCAACTCGTGACTCGTGACATGTCTTTGAACTCTACGGCCTCAGCTCCAAATAAACCGTCAGCGTTTGCCATCAAAGCTCCAGCTCTCCTCGTGACTCTCACTTGCTTCTGAAGATTCCCTCACACTGGGAATAGCACAGAAATGGATGTGAGATAACAGATGTGTTCACGAAGGGGTTTATGACACTCCAGGTAGAGATTTGCTCTTGGGGGGAGCTGCGACACCAAACTGGTCTTTGTAGGGTGTGAGTTTTGCTTATTGTGATCCACCTGGACCACGTGTTGTTGTCATGTAAATGATCTTTGATGTCTCCCTGTGAGAGAGTCTGTCACACTCAGAAGGACTCATCATGCTTGCAAGCAATACACAAATCTTAAAAGACTTTATATTCATATTGTGTTTCTTTGCATATTTACCCAACTCATCATTTTCTCTAGACAGCAGCTGATTTGAAGTGACAAACCTGATGGGGGTCTTTTCTGCCGGGTAGCTGCTGGTGATGCCTGCTGAGAAGGCAGATCTGGGCGTGAGGGAACCACACCTGCAGGTTCCTGAGGTTCCTTGGGTTCCTCGGGTTCCTCTGACCCCCTGCAGCCCCTCCAGCCCCGGAGGACCATGCAGACCAGGGTCTCCCTGCTCTCCAGCCGGGCCTCGCTTCCCCGGGGGGCCGCGGTGACCTCTGACCCCGATCAGACCGGAGGATCCGAGCCGGCCCTTCAGCCCTGAAACAGAGACGAGTTTATTAAGAAGATATTACAAACTATTTATGGACCAATCTGCTCCATGAATACTTTTACTGGAGCAGAGTATTCCTACTCTGGTACTTCTACTTTTACTCAAGTACAAGATCTGAATACTTCTACTTTTACTCAAGTAACAGACCTGAGTACTTCTACTTTTACTCAAGTACCAGACCTGAGTACTTCTACTTTTACTTAAGTACCAGACCTGAGTACTTCTACTTTTACTCAAGTACAAGATCTGAGTACTTCTCCTTTTACTCAAGTACAAGACCTGAGTACTTCTACTTTTACTCAAGTACCAGATCTGAGTACTTCTACTTTTACTCAAGTACCAGACCTGAGTACTTCTACTTTTACTCAAGTACCACACCTGAGTACTTCTACTTTTACTCAAGTACCACACCTGAGTACTTCTACTTTTACTCAAGTACAAGATGTGAGTACTTCTACTTTTACTCAAGTACCACACCTGAGTACTTCTACTTTTACTCAAGTACCAGACCTGAGTACTTCTACTTTTACTCAAGTACCACACCTGAGTACTTCTACTTTTACTCAAGTACCAGACCTGAGTACTTCTACTTTTACTCAAGTACAAGACCTGAGTACTTCTACTTTTACTCAAGTACAAGATCTGAATACTTCTACTTTTACTCAAGTACCAGACCTGAGTACTTCTACTTTTACTCAAGTACAAGATCTGAGTACTTCTACTTTTACTCAAGTACCAGACCTGAGTACTTCTCCTTTTACTCAAGTACAAGATCTGAATACTTCTACTTTTACTCAAGTACCAGACCTGAGTACTTCTCCTTTTACTCAAGTACAAGACCTGAGTACTTCTACTTTTACTCAAGTACCAGATCTGAGTACTTCTCCTTTTACTCAAGTACAAGATCTGAGTACTTCTCCTTTTACTCAAGTACAAGATCTGAATACTTCTACTTTTACTCAAGTACCAGACCTGAGTACTTCTCCTTTTACTCAAGTACAAGACCTGAGTACTTCTACTTTTACTCAAGTACAAGACCTGAGTACTTCTACTTTTACTCAAGTACCAGACCTGAGTACTTCTCCTTTTACTCAAGTACAAGACCTGAGTACTTCTACCCTTTACTCAAGTACCAGATCTGAGTACTTCTACTTTTACTCAAGTACAAGACCTGAGTACTTCTACTTTTACTCAAGTACCAGACCTGAGTACTTCTACTTTTACTCAAGTACCAGACCTGAGTACTTCTACTTTTACTCAAGTACCAGACCTGAGTACTTCTACTTTTACTCAAGTACCAGACCTGAGTACTTCTACTTTTACTCAAGTACCAGACCTGAGTACTTCTACTTTTACTCAAGTACCAGACCTGAGTACTTCTACTTTTACTCAAGTACCAGACCTGAGTACTTCTACTTTTACTCAAGTACCAGACCTGAGTACTTCTACTTTTACTCAAGTACCAGACCTGAAGTACTTCTACTTTTACTCAAGTACCAGACCTGAGTACTTCTACTTTTACTCAAGTACCAGACCTGAGTACTTCTACTTTTACTCAAGTACCAGACCTGAGTACTTCTACTTTTACTCAAGAACAAGACCTGAGTACTTCTACTTTTACTCAAGTACCAGACCTGAGTACTTCTACTTTTACTCAAGTACCAGACCTGAGTACTTCTACTTTTACTCAAGTACAAGATCTGAGTACTTCTACTTTTACTCAAGTACCAGACCTGAGTACTTCTACTTTTACTCAAGTACAAGACCTGAGTACTTCTACTTTACTAAGTACCAGACATGAGTACTTCTACTGTTACTTAAGTACAAGATCTGAGTACTTCTACTTTTACTCAAGTACCAGACCTGAGTACTTCTACTTGTACTGAAGTACCAGACCTGAGTACTTCTACTTTTACTCAAGAACAAAACCTGAGTGCTTCTACTGTTACTCAAGTACCAGACCTGAGTACTTCTACTTGTACTGAAGTACCAGACCTGAGTACTTCTACTTGTACTGAAGTACCAGACCTGAGTACTTCTACTTTACTAAGTACCAGACCTGAGTACTTCTACTTGTACTGAAGTACCAGACCTGAGTACTTCTACTTTACTAAGTACCAGACCTGAGTACTTCTACTTTACTAAGTACCAGACCTGAGTACTTCTACTTTACTAAGTACCAGACCTGAGTACTTCTACTTTACTAAGTACCAGACCTGAGTACTTCTACTTTACTAAGTACCAGACCTGAGTACTTCTCCTGTGGTTCAAACCCCAGACTGTGTGCTGTTTGTCGTGCAGAAGGTAAATGATGTCACCAGTTCCTCCAGCAGCTTCTTGTCTGAATTCCTGTTTCCTGACATCGTGGAAAACACGACGTTTAATGATCTCGCTGACAGATATCAGAGCGGGATATAAATACACTGTGATGCTGTAAGACACGAGACGCTGGACTATAGAGTTATTTAGATTAGAGTTTAAAGCTTGTTTGCAGAAGTAAAAAATGACTCAAACCAAAACAGAGGAGAATGAATAGTGTGTGAGACCCTCTGAGGTCTGAGAGCTTTCATGTGATTGGTTCTCCTGGTAGTCATGTGTAAAAGGTTTAATCAGGTAATACACACCTTCCTCTTCAGGACAAGCTAAGCTGTCACATGGAGAGGACGTCTCTGTTGTCACGATCTGTCTGTGTTTTCCCGTTTTGTTCTGAAAGGTGTGCCCCCCCCCCCCCCCCCCCCTAACCCCCCCCCGTCCTTAGCAAGCCAAAACCCCTCCGTTACGTCGTGTTCCCAATTCAACACTTATATCAGGATACGTCCCTTTTACATCAAAGGCGTAGACACATACGTTTCTGGATGTATTTAAGGTGTTTTGTACCTGAGTCTCCGCTCTCTCCCTTCTCCCTCGTCCTCCCGTCTCTCCCGTCCCTCCCATCTCTCCCCGGCCTCCCCTCGCTCCCCAGGGCTCCGATGGGACCCGGTCCACCTGGAGGTCCCGGGGGTCCGGAGATGCTGCAGATCAGACGAGGGGATCCCTTCAGTTTGGAGTCAAACAGCTGAGCGGACACACAGTGCAGGACACACACTCCCATCAGGGTCCACATCCTCAGGTCTGTCCACATACAGAGAGAGACACACACACACACACACACACTCCCATCAGGGTCCACGTGTTCAACATGTAAGAAGTAGAAAGTACAGGTATTTGTGTTCAACATGTGAGAAGTAGAAAGTACAGGTATTTGGGTTCAAAATGTAAGAAGTAGAAAGTACAGGTATTTGGGTTCAACATGTAAGAAGTAGAAAGTACAGGTATTTGTGTTCAACATGTAAGAAGTAGAAAGTACAGGTATTTGTGTTCAACATGTAAGAAGTAGAAAGTACAGGTATTTGTGTTCAACATGTAAGAAGTAGAAAGTACAGGTATTTGGGTTCAACATGTAAGAAGTAGAAAGTACAGGTATTTGGGTTCAACATGTAAGAAGTAGAAAGTACAGGTATTTGGGTTCAACATGTAAGAAGTAGAAAGTACAGGTATTTGTGTTCAACATGTAAGAAGTAGAAAGTACAGGTATTTGTGTTCAACATGTAAGAAGTAGAAAGTACAGGTATTTGTGTTCAACATGTAAGAAGTAGAAAGTACAGGTATTTGTGTTCAACATGTAAGAAGTAGAAAGTACAGGTATTTGTGTTCAACATGTAAGAAGTAGAAAGTACAGGTATTTGTGTTCAACATGTAAGAAGTAGAAAGTACAGGTATTTGGGTTCAACATGTAAGAAGTAGAAAGTACAGGTATTTGTGTTCAACATGTAAGAAGTAGAAAGTACAGGTATTTGAGTTCAACATGTAAGAAGTAGAAAGTACAGGTATTTGTGTTCAACATGTAAGAAGTAGAAAGTATCGAGCGAACGAAAAAATGTAACCTATCTCTGCACCTAAACTCACTCATAACTCCCTTATTACTTATCCTAGATGCACAGCCAACCCATCGATTAGCATCGTCTGGAGACACAGAATCGTTTGGTGCCCACCTCAACACTCAGTGATAAACATTTGCGACGCTATAAACGAAAGCGTACATCATAACATGTGGAGCTAAGTAGCTAGAAACGCTAACATGGCTTACCTTGGTCAAAACTGGTCTTCAATGGCATTAAAACGATAAAGAAACGATGCTGCAGTTAATCCATAGGTTCATCCTATGTGTCTGTGCCCTCTTTGAAATGATTTCTGATAATCCATAAGCAATAAAACTGCTTTTTCGTTTCCAAATGCTAGAGCGAGAGATCGCTTCACTCTGGTGCAAAATTACATGCGCGCAGCCTCCACCTTTTCTCTTCACAACGTGTGTGTGTGGGGGCCTCCCCCTTCAATTCTATAGGCTCTAACGGTCAGAAAGAGGTGTCAACCATCCAAATCGACCAAGGGGGGCCAGAGATATGGAAAAAAAAACCATTTTCACCCAAATCACCTCAGAGGTGGGGTGGTTTTGGCTAAACCTCTCTAAAAAGGTCAAATGTCACTTGTTTTGCATCAATCTTGATACAGGGTACTTATTATATGTTGTACTTTGGATTCCTAAAGCTTTTAGTCTACTAACCCATCATCCAAGGGTAGTTTTCACTATAAGTAAAAAATAATTTTTGGACGGACACTATAATTTACAGTTTTTTACTATGTAAAATCTGAATTTTCTTTCAAATAAAAAACATTTATATTGATTCTGACACTTCTACATTCAACTCACAGGTTTATCATTACTTTGATAAAAGAAATTATTCATATAACCCTTTTAGAAGTTAAGTTGTAGTCATTTGTTTTGGGCATGTCATTTTCGAGCCTGAAACATGAAAAACAGGCTTGGTGCTTAACAGGTTAAGATTTACTGTAAAAAGAAAAGTTTTAAAGAGTTGATGGAAGAGACAAACATGAACCCCTCTGTAAGACTTAAAGACGAGATGATCCCTCTCTGGGACTTTAAAACATTTCAGTGAGAGCGATTCCTCCTCTTGAGAAGTCGGTCGTCTTTCGTCTGAAGGCGTTCGATCCCAGTCAGGAAACATGTCCATGAATCCTGAATTTACACATTTAGAATTGTCGACATTATTCTGAATATGTATGTTTTATTAGAATATATTTAACTTTATTATCCACATTTAAACTTCTCAACATTTGACTTTATCTCAAAATGTTTTTTGGCTGTATTCTGAAATGTTCCACTTTATTCTTGAAACGAGAATTACATAAAAACCTCCTCCTGCTTTTTCTCTAATATTTCCCACACTCTTTTGTACATGTTCCCAGCTGTGTGTGTGTGTGTGTGTGTGTGTGTGTGTGTGTGTGTGTGTGTGTGTGTGTGTGTGTGTGTGTGTGTGTGTGTGTGTGTGTGTGTGTGTGTGTGTGTGTGCTGTTTGGATGTTTCCATCAGTGGGCGGTGTGTGTCGGATCATCCTTCTGTATCTAACAACAAGAGTGTGTTACACAGCAGCAGCACACGAGACAGATGATGTGTGTTTCGACAAGACTATAAACACCACGAGAACAACACACACACACACACACACACACACACACACACACACACACACACACACACACACACACACACACACACACACACACACACACACACTGTCCCATGTTTTTTTATTTTAAAGGTTTTTAATGATTAATGTGCCTCAGAGTCTCCGGAGAAACGCCCAAAACATGAGGTCGGCTCTGATTAAAGAAATAACCCTACACACACTCTTCACACACTCTTCACACACACTCTGCAGTCTCTGCACACTGCATGTTAGACAGACATGTATGCATTGAATCTAACCTTTAAAAGGGGAAAAAGCTCGACATGAATTTAAAATTAAACGGTTCTGATCATTATTTTAAAAGTCAGGAAAATATTGAGTGTCTTCTCTCCTCAACTCTTGAAAGATTACATTTTAATAATTCATTGTGTTCTGAACTTTGTATTTTAGATGTTTCTCGTTAGGAGAGTTTTTAAAGTAAGACTTCTTTTAGACCTCTCATGTCCACACACTTAGAAGTCATGCGTGCACACACTGACACACTCAGGCAGGTATTCTGCAAACCTTAAGAATGACTTCTATTGTTAATACTCTCCGTTAAAGATGCTCTGTGTCTAATCAGCATTAAGAGAAGGTCTTACCCCTCAGCCGGCAGCGGCTCATCTCCACCTGATAAAGTCTGTGTGTTATCCGCTCAGGTCTTCATCGGGAGTTCTCTCGTTAGCTTTCAACATTTGTAGTAATCCTCTTAGCTCTCAGCATGCAGAGTTGTGTAATGCAGCTGTTTCCACTCTTCCTCCTCCTCTTCCTCTTTATATCCACTCCCTTCTCCCCGCCTCAAGAACAGCAATCATTCAGAACAAACTGCATGATGTCATTCAGAGCAGCTGGATCCTGTAGAAAGTTAGAGTCACTTTAAAGAGTCCTCTCCTGCTGATGTTCAGGTGTATATCAGTATGTAGTGTCTCTACTTTAAAGAGTTCTCTCCTGCTGATGTTCAGATGTATATCAGTATGTAGTGTCTCTACTTTAAAGAGTCCTCTCCTGCTGATGTTCAGGTGTATATCAGTATGTAGTGTCTCTACTTTAAAGAGTCCTCTCTTGCTGATGTTCAGGTGTATATCAGTATGTAGTGTCTCTACTTTAAAGAGTCCTCTCCTGCTGATGTTCAGGTGTATATCAGTGTGTAGTGTCTCTACTTTAAAGAGTCCTCTCCTGCTGATGTTCAGGTGTATATCAGTATGTAGTGTCTCTACTTTAAAGAGTCCTCTCCTGCTAATGTTCAGGTGTATATCAGTATGTAGTGTCTCCACTTTAAAGAGTCCTCTCCTGCTGATGTTCAGGTGTATATCAGTATGTAGTGTCTCTACTTTAAAGAGTCCTCTCATGCTGATGTTCAGGTGTATATCAGTATGTAGTGTCTCTACTTTAAAGAGTCCTCTCCTGCTGATGTTCAGGTGTATATCAGTATGTAGTGTCTCCACTTTAAAGAGTCCTCTCCTGCTGATGTTCAGGTGTATATCAGTATGTAGTGTCTCTACTTTAAAGAGTCCTCTCCTGCTGATGTTCAGGTGTGTATCAGTATGTAGTGTCTCTACTTTAAAGAGTCCTCTCCTGCTGATGTTCAGGTGTATATCAGTATGTAGTGTCTCTACTTTAAAGAGTCCTCTCCTGCTGATGTTCAGGTGTATATCAGTATGTAGTGTCTCTACTTTAAAGAGTCCTCTCCTGCTGATGTTCAGGTGTATATCAGTATGTAGTGTCTCTACTTTAAAGAGTCCTCTCCTGCTGATGTTCAGGTGTATATCAGTATGTAGTGTCTCTACTTTAAAGAGTCCTCTCCTGCTGATGTTCAGGTGTATATCAGTGTGTAGTGTCTCTACTTTAAGAGTCCTCTCCTGCTGATGTTCAGGTGTATATCAGTATGTAGTGTCTCTACTTTAAAGAGTCCTCTCCTGCTGATGTTCAGGTGTATATCAGTGTGTAGTGTCTCTACTTTAAAGAGTTCTCTCCTGCTGATGTTCAGGTGTATATCAGTATGTAGTGTCTCTACTTTAAAGAGTCCTCTCCTGCTGATGTTCAGGTGTATATCAGTGTGTAGTGTCTCTACTTTAAGAGTTCTCTCCTGCTGATGTTCAGGTGTATATCAGTATGTAGTGTCTCTACTTTAAAGAGTCCTCTCCTGCTGATGTTCAGGTGTATATCAGTATGTAGTGTCTCTACTTTAAAGAGTCCTCTCCTGCTGATGTTCAGGTGTATATCAGTGTTGTAGTGTCTCTACTTTAAGAGTCCTCTCCTGCTGATGTTCAGGTGTATATCAGTATGTAGTGTCTCTACTTTAAAGAGTGCTCTCCTGCTGATGTTCAGGTGTATATCAGTATGTAGTGTCTCTACTTTAAAGAGTCCTCTCCTGCTGATGTTCAGGTGTATATCAGTATGTAGTGTCTCTACTTTAAAGAGTTCTCTCCTGCTGATGTCAGGTGTATATCAGTATGTAGTGTCTCTACTTTAAAGAGTCCTCTCCTGCTGATGTTCAGGTTGTATATCAGTATGTAGTGTCTCTACTTTAAAGAGTTCTCTCCTGCTGATGTTCAGGTGTATATCAGTGTGTAGTGTCTCTACTTTAAAGAGTCCTCTCCTGCTGATGTTCAGGTGTATATCAGTATGTAGTGTCTCTACTTTAAAGAGTCCTCTCCTGCTGATGTTCAGGTGTATATCAGTATGTAGTGTCTCTACTTTAAAGAGTGCTCTCCTGCTGATGTTCAGGTGTATATCAGTATGTAGTGTCTCTACTTTAAAGAGTCCTCTCCTGCTGATGTTCAGGTGTATATCAGTATGTAGTGTCTCTACTTTAAAGAGTCCTCTCCTGCTGATGTTCAGGTGTATATCAGTATGTAGTGTCTCTACTTTAAAGAGTCCTTTCCTGCTGATGTTCAGGTGTATATCAGTATGTAGTGTCTCTACTTTAAAGAGTCCTCTCCTGCTGATGTTCAGGTGTATATCAGTATGTAGTGTCTCCACTTTAAAGAGTCCTCTCCTGCTGATGTTCAGGTGTATATCAGTATGTAGTGTCTCTACTTTAAAGAGTCCTCTCCTGCTGATGTTCAGGTGTATATCAGTATGTAGTGTCTCTACTTTAAAGAGTCCTCTCCTGCTGATGTTCAGGTGTATATCAGTATGTAGTGTCTCTACTTTAAAGAGTTCTCTCCTGCTGATGTTCAGGTGTATATCAGTGTGTAGTGTCTCTACTTTAAAGAGTTCTCTCCTGCTGATGTTCAGGTGTATATCAGTGTGTAGGGTCTCTACTTTAAAGAGTTCTCTCCTGCTGATGTTCAGGTGTATATCAGTATGTAGTGTCTCTACTTTAAAGAGTCCTCTCCTGCTGATGTTCAGGTGTATATCAGTATGTAGTGTCTCTACTTTAAAGAGTCCTCTCCTGCTGATGTTCAGGTGTATATCAGTATGTAGTGTCTCTACTTTAAAGAGTCCTCTCCTGCTGATGTTCAGGTGTATATCAGTATGTAGTGTCTCTACTTTAAAGAGTCCTCTCCTGCTGATGTTCAGGTGTATATCAGTGTGTAGGGTCTCTACTTTAAAGAGTCCTCTCCTGCTGATGTTCAGGTGTATATCAGTATGTAGTGTCTCTACTTTAAAGAGTTCTCTCCTGCTGATGTTCAGGTGTATATCAGTATGTAGTGTCTCTACTTTAAAGAGTCCTCTCCTGCTGATGTTCAGGTGTATATCAGTATGTAGTGTCTCTACTTTAAAGAGTCCTCTCCTGCTGATGTTCAGGTGTATATCAGTATGTAGTGTCTCTACTTTAAAGAGTCCTCTCCTGCTGATGTTCAGGTGTATATCAGTGTGTAGTGTCTCTACTTTAAAGAGTCCTCTCCTGCTGATGTTCAGGTGTATATCAGTATGTAGTGTCTCTACTTTAAAGAGTCCTCTCCTGCTGATGTTCAGGTGTATATCAGTATGTAGTGTCTCTACTTTAAAGAGTCCTCTCCTGCTGATGTTCAGGTGTATATCAGTGTGTAGTGTCTCTACTTTAAAGAGTCCTCTCCTGCTGATGTTCATGTGTATATCAGTATGTAGTGTCTCTACTTTAAAGAGTCCTCTCCTGCTGATGTTCAGGTGTATATCAGTATGTAGTGTCTCTACTTTAAAGAGTGCTCTCCTGCTGATGTTCAGGTGTATATCAGTATGTAGTGTCTCTACTTTAAAGAGTCCTCTCCTGCTGATGTTCAGGTGTATATCAGTATGTAGTGTCTCTACTTTAAAGAGTCCTCTCCTGCTGATGTTCAGGTGTATATCAGTATGTAGTGTCTCTACTTTAAAGAGTTCTCTCCTGCTGATGTTCAGGTGTATATCAGTATGTAGTGTCTCTACTTTAAAGAGTCCTCTCCTGCTGATGTTCAGGTGTATATCAGTAGGTAGTGTCTCTACTTTAAAGAGTCCTCTCCTGCTGATGTTCAGGTGTATATCAGTATGTAGTGTCTCTACTTTAAAGAGTCCTCTCCTGCTGATGTTCAGGTGTATATCAGTATGTAGTGTCCTCTACTTTAAAGAGTCCTCTCCTGCTGATGTTCAGGTGTATATCAGTATGTAGTGTCTCTACTTTAAAGAGTTCTCTCCTGCTGATGTTCAGGTGTATATCAGTATGTAGTGTCTCTACTTTAAAGAGTCCTCTCCTGCTGATGTGTCAGAGTGGATATCAGTATATTTAGTGTCTCTACTTTAAAGAGTCCTCTCCCTGCTGATGTTCAGGTTATTCAGTATGTAGTGTCTCTACTTTAAAGAGTCCTCTCCCCTGCTGATGTTCAGGTGTATATCAGTATGTAGTGTCTCTACTTTAAAGAGTCCTCTCCTGCTGATGTTCAGGTGTATATCAGTATGTAGTGTCTCTACTTTAAAGAGTCCTCTCCTGCTGATGTTCAGGTGTATATCAGTATGTAGGTCTCTACTTTAAAGAGTCCCTCCTGCTGATGTTCAGGTGTTTATCAGTATGTAGTGTCTCTACTTTAAAGAGTCCTCTCCTGCTGATGTTCAGGTGTTTATCAGTATGTAGTGTCTCTACTTTAAAGAGTCCTCTCCTGCTGATGTTCAGGTGTATATCAGTATGTAGTGTCAGGGCAGGTGCTCGACCCCTTTGAGGTCTCTGATGCCTGATGAGTGATGTTGGGACTGACCTCAGATCAGCAGCAGCTTCTAAATTACTTTGTACCATTAGTGGGCGTGTCGGCAGGTAAAACACCTGCAGGGACAATGAGTGAAGTTTTGTTTTTTTTTCAACACTTTATTTTTGAAAATGTTCATTATAAAGAAAAATCATACAGAATGTCATTGAGAAGTCAAATATACTGTAGATGCAACAGTGCACATTTAAACCAGACTGCCAAAAAGCAGATCAAATATACCCCCCACCCCTACCCCAGCATGAAAGAAAGATAACAAAAAAAAGTAAATTAGATAAGTACACGTTCGCAAAATTGACAAAACGTTTTTTTTTTATAGAAACATACAAAGCAAATGACGAACAAAAAAACAAAAATATATACAAAACGTACAATATTGCTTTAGAAATGGTAGTAGCCCAGATTCAGCAACGCTCAAATCTATACACAATGTTCTTTAAAGAGTTAAGTCTTCCTCAGACTCCGGCCTGCTCTCCATTCCCCATTCACGCCTCCGCCTCTGGGGACCGTGCCTTCAGTGTCGCTGCCCCCCCCCCCCTCTGGAACTCCCTCCCTGCTGAAATCCGCAACGCCCCTTTTCTGAACTTATTACATGGCTTAGCTGTTCACCACCTGATTGGTCAATTCGGAA